TCCGGATGGGACTCTCCTTGGCGTGGAAGGCAAGCTTGGTGCCCGGATATGAAGATTCCTTTCTTTGTAACCGACTTTGTACAACCCTAGTCCCCTCCGGTGTCTATATAAACTGGAGGGCTTAGTCCGTAGAGGCAATCATAATCATACAGGCTAGACTTCTAGGGTTTTAGCCATTACGATCTCGTGGTAGATCAACTCTTGTAATACTCATATTCATCAAGATCAATCAAGCAGGAAGTAGGGTATTACCTCCATAGAGAGGGTCCGAACCTGGGTAAACATCGTGTCCCCCGCCTCCTGTTACCATCAACCTTAGACACACAGTTCGGGACGCCCTACCCGAGATCCGCCGGTTTTAACTACCATCAACCAGAAGTTAGAGGAGATGGTAGTCAGGTTCCGACACATTTTCTTTGAGAGTTGAAAACAGCTCATGGTGTCCTTTGCTGCCTTTGAAAAGAATCCATGGGCACTAGCACCCAGGACATATTTTTATAGAAGAAGCCCACCCGAGTGAGATCATGGAAATTCGCTCCCAACAGGATTCGAACTCTGGTCTGCAAGGTGCGCCACAACGACCTTGCCATGGGCTGCCCAGTCCTCCTTTGCTACATTTGACAGTTCTTGGCCCTTCCAGCCGAAGTCCTTGACCCAGTACAAAAGTTTATCGAGATAGAGAATGGCGGTCCTAAGGGTGGTGGATATGAAAGTGGAAATGTTTGGATCCCATGAACGTCTTTTCTCTATGTTTCCTACGACTACTTCAACTCTCGGATGTTGATCCATTAAGGCAGAAGTGTTGATGACTTCTCATTCAGAACAAACTTGGTTTCGTTGCCTCAAGCAGGAAGCGGTGGGTGGCAGCACACCATCCTTCGTTCTACTGGTCAAAGATGGTGGAATCCCCATGGGCTCTCTTGTAATTTTTATTTTCATAGGGTTTATTTATATAATGCTAATTTTTTAATATACTGTGTCGTGGGCTTTAAAAAAATGGATACATGGAAATGTTGCCCTACATGATTGTGGTCCATCTGATGTAATATGTTGGTGTGTTTGTTGGGATATGATGAATTATCACTTTATGATCAGATGTATTCATTAATATTTTTTAGATCTTTTTGTTTTTGTGTTGCGCAATTCTTATTCATATATGCTCTTCGATCTATTCTCTCTTTCTTTGGCCAAGTTTGGGATTTGACCATCAAGGGGAGTTGTGTATGATAGTTGGGTTCAACCTTGCAAGTAAGCTACCGCACTGACAGACAATGAAAAAGGTTTGTATTATGTTGTTGCTGCTAAGGATAAAAAGATGGTCGCGTAGTTAAATGCAGGGTGAAGACAATATATCATCAATTTCATGTCATCGTACTTTGGCTGGAAACTTTCTTTGTGGGATCGTGACCAGTAAGAAAGTTGTGTTTGGCCCCGACCGGTAAGCAATATGTATAGGAGGACCAGAGGCGGTATCGTGAGCAATCACGATCTCAAACCGACTTGGTTTTTAAGTCGTAAGCTTACCGGACAGGAAACAACCAACTTGGTGAGGCGAGCGAGCGTGGGGTGTGGTATTCTCTTTTTCTCCTCAGCACATCAGGGAGTGCAGAGAACCCAATGTATAAAGACGTCTCACAACCCCTCAACTTCCGGGTTGGACTAAACTTTAGATTCAAGGCTTGCCATTTTATTCATGGGTTACTTTGAGATTTCAGAAATCGTACATGAGCCTAGCCCATTATTTATAATAGTTACTAGAAAAACAGTCGCAAGAGCTATCTCTCGCTTATAGCGAGACGATAGTTTCACTCACGTCGAGCGTGGAAGCTCCTGAAAGCTCCTAATTAGCGCTTCAGGCGCGAGACGCTCACGCAGCTGCCTCGTGTGGGCCGTCCCAGCAAGCGAGCTGGTCGCTTGCTCCTCTTTTCGTTCACTCGCTCCAACCTTTTTCTTCGCGCATGCAATGACCGCGTCATACGATTGGTTCACTGTCCAAATGTTTAACAAGTGACCAAGTGGCTTTGAAAAACAAATATGGATCTAAAAAAATTACATATTTGAAAAAGCTCACGAGGATTTTTTTTAAAAGTGCGCAGATTGAAAAACGTTCATGGATTTGAAAAAGTCCGTGGGTTTCACGAAACTAGAGAAATATCACGAATTTGAAAAGTTCACAGATTTGGCAAATAGTTCATCAAATTTTTAAAAAAGTTCAAGAATTTGCAAAAAAAAAATCAACAATTTTTAAAAAAGTTCATCTAATTTGAAAAAAATCAGAAAATTGAAAACCAATCATTGATTTTAAAAGAAAGTTCATCGATTTTGTGTTCATCATTTTTTAATAAGTTCATTCAATTTAGAAAATATAAATAAAAAATAGAAAAACATAAAAAAGAACAAAACCGTTGCAAAAATGGACCAAGAAAAAAGAACAAGAAAAAGGAAACAGAAAAAGAAAAAAGAGAAAAGAGTAAAGAGAAAAGAGAAAGAAGAAAGAAGAAAGAAGAAAGAAGAAAAGAAAGAGAAAATATAATTGAACTCATCATGTGAGGGTGGTTGCGCAACATACGAACGACCAGCTGCACTATTGTTTGGACGTTAAAAAAAGAAGAAAAAGGAAGGTGGCCCGGCCCAGCGCGGAGGAGAGGTGTGCGCCCGTTTACACAACATGCTGTAACAGGCGCCTGAAGCGTCGGATAGGAAATGCTTCTAACATATGGGCCAACCCATTAGTGTAGGTTCTCTGCTGCCGCTCGCGCGTTGCAGGTTCGGTCTCTATAGGTTTCCTTAAGTTTCTTTTTTCCTTTTTTTATTTTTTATTTCTTTCCCGGTTTTCTTTGATTTACTTTTTCGCCTTTATATTGTCTTTTTTTATTTTGTTTTTCTTTGGTTTCCCATTGTTTCTGTCATGATTTTTTATCTTTTTTCTTTTCTTTCTCATTCTTCTTCATTTTTTGTTTCTTTCTTGGTTTCAACATTTTTTTCTTCGTTTCTTTATCGGTTTCACAGTTTATTAATTATTTTTGCACTTTTTTTCTTCATTTTTCTTTTTTGTTCTACATTTTCTGTAGGTTCTTTTGTTTCTTTTAATTATTATTTGTATCTATTGGTTTTGATTCTACCTTTTCTGTATACATCAGGAATATTTTTCGAATACATGTTAATTTTTTTTAAATACAAGTTTAAGGTTTTTTGAAGACATATTTAATATTTTTCCGATACATATTTTAACATTTTCAAATGATTTATTAATAATGTAAATACAAAATTGACGTATTTTTAATACATGGTTAACAATATTTCTATAAAATGTAAACTTTTTGAAATGCTTGATTAAAACTTGTCAAATAAAATACTAATATTTTCTAATACATGGTTAACATTGTCCTTTACACATTTAACATTTTTTCAATGCCTAATTAATTTCTTTATGAATGCAATATTAACTTTTTTAATACATGTTCAACCTTTGTCCTTTATATATTTAACATTTTTTAATGCGTGATTAATATTTTCCATATGTAAGTTTAACATTTTAATACAATATATGATTAAATAAATTTATACATGTTGAACATTTTGTCTATACAGATTTAATATTCTTCAAATGCTTGTCTAATATGTTTTCGAATCCTATATTAAAATTTATTAGATTTCGTAAATACATGATCAATTTTTTCATACACATTGTATAATTTTGTATAAATTTTTTTATACATGAGAAACATTTTTTTATACATATTTAACATTTAATGCTTGGTTAACATTTTTTCAAATATTTTATGTCGAGTGTTTTTGTAATATATCTGTTTAGAAGACTTGGAAGTATAAACGAAAGTAAAAAGTAATAAAAAACGTGAAAAAACAAAGAAACGAGGCTGAGGTTGTGGCCACCCGTGCGCATGCGCCAGCCCATCTAACGCTCCCCTGACTCGGTGGCTCAAAACAATTCCACGGTGCATGGGTCTACCGCCGGTGGTTGCATTGATATTTGTTCTACTTTGTCTTATTTGAGTTCTCAAAAAAAAAACTTTGTCTTATTTCAAAGCGTTACCTTGGGTTTTTCTTCTCGTTTCAAAGTGATTTTTTCTCGTTCCTAAATGTGTCTTAATGTTTCATTGTGTGTGTAGCGTATCTTAATGTTTCATTGTGTGTAACATATCTTAGGCCTTGTTTGGTAGCAAGGGGGAGGAAGCCCAGGGCCACAAGCCCCTAGTGGTAATTTTAACATGCACATTAAACAGCCGAGGGAATTTCCGTCACAGCTGCTGGAGCGTAGATGTGGTCATGTGAAGCGCTGGAGGAAGGATGGCTGGGGGCGTCACTACCAGCTCCATCGCCACCGAAAGCGATCGGAAGTTTCCTCTCCCGGGGAAAGGACGTGGAAGGGGCGGGGGTGCCCTGATCTCGTGGGCATTCAAATGCAGCGGTGGTTTTTCCTGGATTGATTCAGCCCGTGGTTTCTCTATCTAGGGAAGAGGCAGGGATCACAGGAGGATCCCCTATAATCAAATGAGCCCTTAATGTTTCATTGTGTGTCATCGTGTATCGGCAAACCTAACATCAAAGCTGATATAAAAGAAGTGTATTCTTTCTAGTTGGTACACGCTGAAAGAAAAAGAAAAAGGAACTAAACCTTTTGAAACAACATAAATTTTGACAACCATGAATGGTGGATCCACTCTCAGCTCTGTTACCCACACAAGTAATTTCTACTACTTATTTTCATGTGTCACGTTGTTAATTTCCATTTTATACACCGTGTACATACATTACATATCAACAGCATGAACCGTAGACTTTACCAGGAGCTACATACACGCGCATATGCTCAGCCGCTAAATCATATATCCCCTGCCTAGTGCCTACACTTTACACCGCTGCCGTAGCGTCTGCGATGTCTGATCAGAGTTCTACACGAAGGAAGCTTCCACGGTTCAGCACCCATCACCCAGGCTCCAGGGGAGAATCAACTCGTGGGTAACAGCGAGCCGTGCCCTCTACTCCTCGACCCTGCGCGCGTGCTTGCCGTCCGAAGATGTGCCTCCACCTCTGTCGGCTCTCGCCTGATTTTTTTTGCTGCAGACAAGCACACAGGATGACAGGAACAGACAAGTGCCGCGGATTACTCACGGAAAGGAATGTGGACAATGTATAACACGGATCCTTTTATCTTTATGAATGAATGGTCTAGTAACACGGATCCTTTAATGAATGAATGAATGGTCTAATAGCATGGATCCTTTGATAAGTTTACCGGACAGTAGCCGAGAAGATCTTGTAGGCGTACAACATGGGCAGCGCACACATGGCGGACGCCTGCGCACGACGAAGCGAATAGGTGTGAGTTCAGTAAGCATGGTGAAATTTGTGCTGTGGATTTTCTGTGATACCAACTATGATGGAATCAAAGTACTTATTTTAGTTACCATCCACCACGGCAATCTATAAGCTGAAAGTGGGTCCAGCAGCCCGCTGCCCTCCAGGAAGCCACTGATTCCTTTCTGAACCTGCATTTCAACAGCGATTTATTTTTCAAGCCTGAAGTGTATACGGCCAGTGCCAAATCCTGAGGGAGAAAACACTACTAGTATGTTAACTGAGGCTGCACCTGACTATGGTACAAGCTCGTCGACATAACGAGCTGTCTCCAAACAGACTTGACAGGCCTCGTGTAAGGTTCAATAGCCGAAAGGTGAGGTTCAGACGCTGCCGCGATCCGTCCGACGTGTGGCCCGGAGGACTTCCTGCATTCCTACTAGAGTGAAACCGTTTGTGCTCAGGATCAGACTTCAGTAGCTCAACCATGCATACAATGAGATGAAAAGGTTGCTATGATGTTACTATGCATCAGCTGTCACCTGCCAGTAGTGATCTGCAAACTCTCGAGACTTGGCCACACATGGCTGGATGGCATCCTTGCAAGCTCTGTAGGCTGTGGTGATCCTGTCAGCTACCACCGACACGTACGGCTTAGTTCTGTTCTTCAGTGAGTTGAAATGAAATTTGGCAACAGGCAACAGTTTCTTCATGAAGCAAGAGATGGCGTGTCAGAGTGTTTCACAAATAGGTGAGGGGGAGTGTTGGTTGAGAACACTAGCCTACATTTTTTGTTGCCTGCAAGTGTGGTTCCACCCGTCTTTGTGCATGTGCCAACGTCTCAGCAACCTGTCAACTTGGCATTGTAAAACGGTGGTGGTTACATTTATAAATACTAGTAGCAAGTAACACTTGATATTAACAAAAAATCCATATGAAACAAACCTTCTCCATCAGAGCATCAAGCACAGGCTTCCCGTGGAGATGCCATTTGGCAGATGCTAGTTCCTGCAAATGCACCAAATAAATCTAAATTGAAGTTTCGAAAGTTACATAAATTCCATAACACTGGATGAATCCACATATACCTGACAATGTACAGAGCGCGATGCGAACCAATACGGTAGCCACATGCCATGTACCTGAAAATGAACCATCTCCGCTTTAAGCTCTCTGCAGATCACTGACTTCTGAACAAAAATATTGTACTTGTAGTTACCCATACATTTGCCAACTCTTGAGCCTTCAATTTTGCTTGTCTTTGCACTTCAGACAGTTTACCCTGAACATGAAGCATATAATTAGCACGTTGAGGGTTCTTCTCAATGACTATATTTTCCTTGCATGTGTACCAACTTTTGAATGCTGAAGATCTCGTTCCAGCTCCTCGATTTTCTTCCTCTGCTCAGCGTTTATCTTCTCAACCTGAAGACGATGTGAGTCACATCAGAATTCTGTCAACAACCACCCACTACGACCTGTCCCTCCCAGCCTAGTACTACTAATTATACAGCATGTATGTAACTTACACGATCCAACTTCTGACCGAGCTCAAGCAGGCTTTTCTCTGCTTCGCTAGCCCGGGCTTCCAATAGCTCCCCTTTCTTAACTTGGTCTTCCAAATCACTGCCCAGCCTCTCAATCTGTTCTCCTTTTGTCTTTGTCAGTTCAGTTGCCATATGAATTTGGGATTGGCTGCTGAAAACGGAGCCTGGAATTGTCCGTTTCCTTACCTGCTTCTCGATCATCGCACTGTTGGTGCTCGCCTTCACCACGGATTCATCGTCAGCCACATTCCTCACCTGCATAGCCTCTAGCCCGCTGACCAACGCCACGATCTGCGCCGTCCTCTCCCTGACGACGCTCTCCAGCTGCGAGGTCTCCTCCTTCCTCCAGCCGACCTCGTCCTCTGAACCCAGCCAGGTATGCTCAGCTGTTAATTCTTTCTTCGCCCAGCAAAGCAGGAAGACACGAAACAGTTTATATCCTGCGGTTGACAAACCGGCAGGCAGCTCACCTAGGGACGCGACCTTGGACCTGAGCCTCTGAATCTCCCGCTCCTGCTCCTGCCCGTCGCCGCACTGCGCCCGAGAAAAGCACGAGCAGAGGAGGATCGCGCCGGCGACCAGACACAGAGCCCGGCGATCTCCTGCCATGAATCAACCTTGTCCTGTCTCGTCAATTCTCAAGAATATTCAGGCAGGCTCGTTCGCAGCATGGGCCAGGGAGGTATCTATGTCGTAGTGTCGCTCTCTCGCCGAACGCCGGGAGAAAGGTTTTAGCGGGAGCGCGCACGCGTCATCATAGCACCGTGATTTGCACGCGGGCGCTTCACTTTTTGGGTATTTGGAGCTCGCGCGCGGTCCCTTGTCGGGAGCGGAGGAATGTTTGGCTGCGTGAGACTGGGAAGGGTGGAGGCGCTAATAAGTGAAGGTGGGAGGGGGTTAGTTTGAAGTGCGTGGCTGTGCACGTGGCGAAGCGGCCCCGCACACGTGGTCTTCGCGGCGCGGGTAGGCGAGGTGCGTGGACACGTTGGCGCCATCGGGGAGCTTCATCGTGTACCAGGTTGGCAGGTTCGGCAGCGGCTCTCTCTGCCCGCCCTAGGCCCTAGCCGATGCTGCTTTCGTCAGGACGCTTATTAAGAGAAATTTCTGGAAAGGCATGGACTTTCTCGAATATGTAAAGTGTTTCAACGCCGGCCATCGGCTGACTGAAGCCCGTTTCCGTTCCTGTACGGATATTCAAATTATACTTTAGTTATAAATAAAAATATATAAACTAAATGTAGGTTATATATGACAACAATTACATTGTTGATTTCGTACAAAACAAGTTTTTAGTAATATAAATTTTAAGTCACATTAGTTTTTCAGAATCCATGTGCATATTTTTCATTGGAATGGAGAGGGGAAACAATTTGCAGCACACTCGGGCGGGGGCATGCTCTAACCCGCGCGAATGTTAGAAAGTGGTAGTATAGACTTCAGTTGGTTTGTTGCACTTGATTGCTGCATTTATTTGTTGCATATCATGCATATAGATTATTATCTTGTCGCTAACGGTTAATCTTGTGAGTGTAGGTGGTATCGGTTTCGAGCCACTACCTGCACCCTCCTTCTTTGCATGCCTGCTCTTCGGTGTTCGGCGTCATCTCTGTCCCAGCAGAGTGATGCCATGGCGCCAAGTGTTCCAGACACCATTTGTAGGAGTTATGCTCATGATATCGCATCGATATCTTTCCGCCATACACCCGTATCGTTTCGGTGATAGACTTGTCTCTATCCCGAATCGTGCCCTCCATCTCGTCCCTTTGGCAACCCTTACTGATCTTTGTTATCAGAAAAAGGTCAATGCACAAGCCTTGCTTTTCCTCCCCTACCCTGTCATTCCATTCTTTGGACGTGTACGATTTCCTTTCGTACGCCTCACGATGATGTGGTTGTGACTTCTGTGTTCTGACCCATGATCACCAAGTCTGCCCTCGCCTCTGTATCCATCCAGTTGCAACCGGAGTTCGGCCAGCGTTTGGTGTAGCCTAGGTTACACCAATTCCTTCCACACATGGATTTCACTTTTGTGCACACCGCCAGAGCATATTAGACCGTAATGATGGAGTTTCTGCGAGATTTGTGTTCTTAGGTGTGCATGCATATTATTGTGTGAGTAGCAGTAATATGTGATGTTGCTTGATTATTTATATTATTAGTATGCTTGTGTGCTTTTGTTTTCGTCGTTTCTTTTACTTCTTTCTTTGGACCTTCGGTGTTGCCATACTTTCCCTTTATTAAAGTTGCTCGTCAACCAACACCGGACCTGAAGAGTCAGCAAGGAATGCATATATATTTGGAAACTCAGCTAAACAGAATGGAATTATCAGCAGACTGCAGTGAATTTTGGAATATCTTGTCTGAATGCAAAAGAAATCCTGGATAGATAATATTCAAAGAAGTAGCAAGCAACTAAGCTTGGGGATGCCCCTGAGTGGCATCCCCGCTTTCTTCTAACGACCATCGGTATTTTACTTGAAACTATATTTTTATTTGTCACATGATATGAGTTTTGCTTGGAGCGTCTTATATGATATGAGTCTTTCCTTGTTTTGCTTTGTGTTTTAAGTGTTGAATCCTTGCTGGACACACCCTTTTTAGAAATCCAAAAATTATGCTATGCTTGCACATATGCTTCACTTAAATTTTTTGAGCCATGAACTTGCTCTAGTACTTCACTTATATCTTTTTGAGAACGGTGTGCTTTGTTAATTTGGAAGAAATGCTCTCATGCTTCACTTAGATTTATTTGGGTGTTAGTAAATTTTTAAGAAATTCTCTCTTACTTCACTTAGATTATTTTGAGAGAAAGAAAAAATTATGCTCATGATCTTCACTTATATTTGTTTGAGCTTATCAAAAGTAACATATTAAAATAGTTCCAAAGTGATAGATATCCAAGGAGGATATAATAAAAAATTCATGAAGATCATTGGACAAAATAAACTTGATTCTTAGTAATGGTTTTGAGATATGACGGTATGATATGTGAGTCATGTTGATGAGTAATTGTGCTTTAGTAAGAATATTGATGTTAATGTTTGTGATTCCCTACGCAAGCACGAAAGTCAATAGTTATGCAATGAAATTTATATTCTACTTATGGTGCATTATTCGGTGTTACTTATGCTTAATGCTTGGGTACGAGATTTTTCGCTTTTTGGTTGGTCACTTCTCAATCTTTTTGCTAGCCTTCATTTTGCACTAAGTATGATCACTACTTGTGCATCCAAAACCCTTTAAACCAGCTTTGCCATATGAGTCCACTATACCTACCTATATGCGGTATATCCATGCCGTTCCAAGCAAACTTTCATGTGCCATCTCTAATGTTCAAAATAAATTTCTTTTTTGTGTGCTCTACTACTCGTGAGGCGGTAAAGGGTAGCCAATATTTTCCATGGTAGATGTGTTATTCTCACGATGCGTGTTTATTCACTTGTCATTGCACAAGAGTACGGCAAAGGTATTAGGATGCCCAGTCCCGAAATGAATAAATGAATTTACTTTATGTTGTCAAATAATAAATTCCTTGAAAAGTGTTGGTATGGAGGGCACCCGTGGATACGGTTAGCCATGGAAAGTGAAAGTTAAGGTGGAAAAAGGAATAAACTTTATTTTCTGTTTGGGAACCTCCTATGATGTATCTAGCATGGAAAGTGTTGGGATGCTCCAAGTCATTTTCTTTGGTAGGAAAAGTATGCCTCTTAAAAATAATTTTATCTCTCAATTTAAGCTTTGAGCTCTGACACCTCTACAAATCACTACTTCCCTCCGCGAAGGGCCTTTCTTTTACTTATGCATTTTTTATTTTGAATTTGAGTCTCCATCTTATCTTATAAAGCACCAACTAAGGGGCACTATGATCGTATTTGAGCATTGGGTGTAGCTACTATTCGAGTGTGTTTCATGAATGGATCAATGACTGAGCATGATGGGCTAGGGATAACTTGCTTTAGTGTTGATATTTTGAAAGACATGGTTGCTTGTTGGTATGCTTGAGTATTAAAGTCTTCATGTCAAAACTAGACTATTGCTTTGAATCATATAAAAGTCCATATGTCCATGCTATAAAGAAAAGAATGTAATGAACATGTTAGGCAACATTCCACATCAAAAATTATGTTTCTATCATTTACCTACTCGAGGACGAGCAGGAATTAAGCTTGGGGATGCTGATACATCTCCAACGTATCTATACTTTTTTTATTGTTCCATGCTGTTATATTATCATTGTTGGATGTTTTACAATCATTTTATAGTCATTTTATATCATTTTTTGGTACTAACCTATTGACATAGTGCACAGTGCCGGTTGTTGTTTTCTGCATGTTTTTTACATCACAGGAAATCAATATCAAACGGAGTCCAAACACAACGCAACTCCTGGAGGATTTTTTTTGGGCCAGAAGAAAGCCAATGGGCCAAGGAAGCACCTGAGGGGCTGCTCGAGGGGAGCAGCACCCACCAGGGCGCGCCCAGGTGGGTGCTGCCTAGCTCGGGTGCCCCCCAAACCGTCTCTTTGCTCTATAAATACCACATTATTCCAGAAACCCTAGGAGAGTCAATGAAATATTGATCCAGCCGCCGCAGAGTCCAGAACCACGAGATCCAACCTAGACACCGTCATGGAGGGGTTCACCACTTCCATTGGTGCCTCTCCTATGATGCATGAGTAGTTCTTTGTAGACCTACGGGTCCGTAGCTAGTAGCTAGACGACTTCTTCTTCTCTCTCTCTCTTGATTATCAATACAATGTTCTCTTGGAGATCCATATGATGTAAGTCTTTTGGCGGTGTGTTTGTTGGGATCCGATGAACTTTGAGTTTCTGATCAGATCTATGTTTTTATCCATGAAAGTTATTTGAGTCTTCTTTGATCTCTTATATGCATGATTGCTTATAGCCTCGTATTTCTTCTCTGATATTTGGGTTTTGTTTGGCCAACTTGATCTATTTATCTTGCAATGGGAAGAGGTGCTTTGTAGTGGGTTCGATCTTACGGTGCTTGATCCCGGTGACAGAAGGGGAACCGACACGCATGTATCGTTGCTTCTAAGGATAACAAGATGATATTATATCTGCCGAAATAGATAAACGGATCTCGTCTACATCATGTCATCGTTCTTATTACATTACTCCGTTTTCTCATGAAATTAATACACTAGATGCATGTTGGATAGCGGTCGATGTGTGGAGTAATAGTAGTAGATGTAGGTAGGAGTCGATCTACTAATCTTGGACCTGATGCCTATATAATGATCATTGCCTGGATATCGTCATAATTATTTGAAGTTCTATCAATTGCCCAACAGTAATTGTTTTCCCATCGGTTGCTATTTTTCTCGAGAGAAGCCACTAGTGAAACCTATGGCCCCGGGTCTCTTTTCATCATATTTGCCTTTGCGATCTATTTTCCCTTGCATTTATTTTCAGATTTGTTAAACCAAAAATACAAAAATACCTTGATGCAATTTATTTGTGCCATGGTCTATTTATCCTATCTACCACTTTTACCTCGCGTTATTTGCCTATCTTGAGGCGTCGTACCCGGAAGGGATTGACAACCCCTTTAACACGTCGAGTTGCGAGTATTTGTTATTTGTGTGC